CATGTGTCCAAGGAGAACGAAGGCTCCTACAAGTGTGAACATCCCACAAAAGGAGAGTCACCAGAGATTTGGCTGGAAGTGAGAGGTGATGATGATGGTAGGTTTCATGAAGGTTTTGTCTGATGGCTTTTAGGAACAGTTATCTGGTAGTCTACGAGTAAAACCAAAATCAGAACAGTCATCCTCCTGTTTCTGTTTTTGGTGCCTACATTACCCATAATGCACCACAGCAGCATATAGTTCAGTCAGACATTTGAACCATAGAGTCAGATTAACCTTAGCTTTTTCATCCACCTACACAACAATACTCCTTAACTCCCGGTTTGCCTTTGATTTGACAAAGGCAAATAAATTGTGGTGCTCTAAGACATGTAGATATCTTCCAGCATTGATCGTGCCTCTTCAGATGTGCAAACTGTCAGTCCCATAGGGCACAAATGCACACCCTGCTTGTCTTTAGTTCAGAGGTCAAAGGTTCCATGTTTTCCTTAAATAATTTCCAATTTTGATTCATCCAACCAGGGAATAGTTTCCTGATTTACCTGAGTCCATTTTATATTAACTTTAGCACAGAGAAGATGTTTCTGGATCGTGTTTGCATCATGGTTTCTTCTTTGTATGTTAGAGCTGACAAAACACCGTGCACTGTCTTTGCACTCAGTGATTTCTGTTCCTCAGTCCATGCAGTGATTTCCATGACAGCCTGTTTTTAATGAAATGCCAGATGACAGCCAGGTTTGGACTGGTAATCTGGCATACTGAGCACATCCCTAAGAGAGGAAAATAAAAATAAACTCACAATACGTGCAGAAAAATGTGTAAAGTAAACAACATCTTAGCTGTCAGGGCTACTGGTGCACCATCAAGGGTAGTACCAGTAACAGCTAGTAACAAGCCCTCTCAGTCACAGGAGATGTGCAGGAGGAGGGACCATGGTCGTGACAAAAGAGTGAGGAAGGTAAAGTTAACGTAACAGCACTTGGCATCTATTCTAAAGTTGTTCCACAGTTTTTAGAAGCAATCCTTTGTGCCACTACATGAAATGTCAATTTTCTTTATTTACTTTTCATGTAACATTTGGTCCTAAATAGAAAAGATGATGACAAAACCGTTTCTGTCTCACAGCTCGAGCTCCATCTATGACTGCTCCTCCTCTGATGTCTCTTCCCAGGCTGGCGTACACAATCTTTTTGTTCCTCCTGTTCACTGGTATACTCATACTGTGTATATCCATGGGCAAAAAGTTCACTCAAGGTAAGAGTACAACACAAAAAAAAATCATACTGAGAATATATTAATTTTCCACAGGGTCAAAGGTCAGATACAACTCCAAACAAATAGCTTAGCTGCCAAACAAATGACAGAAAATCAATCATAAAACTAGTTTTTCAAACTTCTTTTGTCAGTCTAACAATAATTCAAGTATGAAATCAGGTGATAGATACATCTGATTGAAAATAACTTAAAAGCAGCAGCAACACATTAACCTCTTGCTGTGAAAGATTAATGTTTTCCATTTGCAGCCTCCTCCACTTGGACAGTAGATGCCAACTGACCACAGTGGTCTCAACTCATTACACTTTGTGAAACAGACTCTTGGTTGTGGCTCATCAGATGACCTCAGGCATGTTTGTGTGTTGATGTTCATTAAGTGAAGACAGATATTGATGTTTTCAGCACAAATGTCACAGCAGATAAAGACAGACAGTTATCATCAGGGATTCGTATTGTTGTTAATGAGGTCAGAGGTCAGAGCTAGTTCTCATGGCAACAATAGAAAGTGCAACTGTTGTATAACACTGCTTATATGGGATTAAATTCTGCTTTTAAAAAAAGTCCCACTACGTAAAGTTTCTGTTCCTCCTGCAGCTGAAACTGAGACAAAAATGAGAGAGTCTGATCATCTCTGACTGGAGTGTCTGAGGATGACGATCATGATGAACAATAACAATCATGTATCACCAGTATGTTTTGCCTACATTGTTACCTTGTGATTTAATCTGCTCTTTGTGCTGAACTGAAAACTGCAGAATTCTTACATTGGATGAGTTTTTTGTTTAAAAGACAAAAACAATGATATGTCAATGTCAAAATGTAAATAAGCTTCATGCTAGGCTTCATAGGTCAATACTAGCACTTCTCATGCTAATGTAGAAATATTTGTCTATATTATTATGGTTAAAATCAAATAAAAAGTAATGTATGTGCA